TACTTCTAAGCTTAATGTAGCTAGTTCTAAAACTACATTCATATTTATCATAGTTGAAAGCGTGAGTCAATTGAAGCTAAATCATCAAGGAAAACCTGGAAACACTCGACGGCCGTTTCGTCCTATTATGGGACTCCTCAGCAGTACGCATGCACGAACCTGCTTTCGTGAGGAGTCCCATAATAGGACGAAACGGTCGTCGAATGTTTCCAGGTTTTCCTTGGTGGTCTAGCTTCAATTGACTCACGCTTTCATCTATGATAAATACTATATCTCCACAAAACCCCTTCTATAATTAATACATTCATATTCCCATTATAGTTCCCTGTTTTCATTCATTACTTTAAAATCCAGAAATTTACCCATCAGATCAACTAGTTATAAACCATAAATTAGTTGGATGGTTCCAGAAGTTGTTTAGTCCATAAAAAAATTTATTCGGTTAAGCAATCCTTTTCAACGAATTTATATTCAGATTGACATATATATATGATAAATTATAGGTCAATTATTAACTATAGGTCTATTTAAATTTGATTAGTTGTCACGGAGAATTCGATTATGCCATTTATTACTTATTTACGCCTTTTAACCCTCGCGAAAGAGAATAGGCCATCCACCAGCATTCTCCATTGAACTACGTCCTAGACAATCCTTCCCTTGTTGTTTCAAGCTGCTATTTATCCTTTTCATGTCTGCCTCCAAGTCTCAACGTAATGTGTTCTTTGGTTTTTCTCTTTTCCATTTCCCTTCAGGATTACAAGTCAGTGCTTGCCTCGTGATCCAGTTTGATGGTTTCCTCAATGTATATCCCATCCACTTCTACCATCTTTTCCTAATTTCCTCATCAGCTGGAATTTGGTTTGTTCTCTTCCACAGTAAGTTGTTGCCGATAGTTTGCGGCTAGCAGATCTGGAATATCTTGCGTAGACAACTAAATATAAATACGTGCACCTTTGATGATGGTTGTAGAAGTTCTTCAAGTTTCCGTTCCGTACAGTAGAACTGTCTTGACGTTCGTATTGAAGATTCGGTCACGATGATCAATGTAAATACCTAGCTCTTAATCAGAAGATGAACTAGTAAAAGCATAATGAATTAGTTAATCTTGACAATTCATCTTCCACCAAGGGGTAATTAAAAGAATCACTACAGTAAATTTGTCAGAGATTTCCTGAGTTATATGCCATTCTAGTACCTCAACAGACAGCTTTCGAGTGTATTCCTAGTAATATCCCCCTTAAACTGAAATTTTAAAAACAGTAACTTCTTGTTAACGATGAATTTAGTTTGTGAAGGTTCTTTCACCTTTATATTTTTCTTTAAAAATGTCAATGGGTATCCATTTTCTAGAAAGTTATTTAATTGAAAATCGTTATAAATCTGTTGATGTCTTCAGATGGATTTTATTATGTAACCAGATTACTAATGAGATGAATGAACGTAAATATAAGTGTTTACTTAAAGGAGTGACATATTTCTTATAAATTATTCTTTATTAAAGGTTTAATGATGAAATCATACAGTTGCTAATTGATTACCAACTAATAATTCACACAGCGGTCTTGATAAAGTTCTTCTTCAGAAATAATTTAAATAAGTGTATACTTCATAGTCCCATTGATGAACTGTTGACCTTTTTACACATTTTTCAATGAAAATTTTATCTAATCGTCATTGAACGATATTCAGAGAATTCTATAAACAGCATTAGAATTTCTGGATAGAATCTTATAATTATTCATCTATGACTGGGTGAGATTGTAATAGTTGCACTTTTAGTTATCTTTCTTGACTCTTAACATAATAACGATCCATGTTTTACGGATTCGTTTAGGCGGATGAACGATAAAACAGATGTAAACCGTATATGCACTTCCAAATTATAATGTTTAGTTAAGAATCATCCTATTTATGAAAATAAACAAAGTAGCAGACTACTATGGGAGCGAACGAATCAGCTTTCAACTGAAGAGAAAATTAGGAAAAGACATTGGAAGTGGATAAGACATACATTGAAGAAATTATCAAACTACATCATGAGGCAAACGCTGAATTGTAATGGTGAAGGGAAATGGAAAAGAGGAATGCCAATGGATACAATGATTTGAGAAATGGAAGTTTACATCAGAAGAATGAATAGCAACTGAAAAAAATTGTAAGCAAAGATGAAAAATGGCTAGCAGTGGAATCCAGTTTGACGCGCGTTTCGTCCTATTTGAGACTCGTCAGGTGGATGTACCTGCATCTCAGAGTTGATGTTCACTCTGGGACTCGAACCCAGTAACCTCGCTTCAAACGCCTTCGCGTTATCCACTCGGCCACTGAGTTCATCTTTGCTTATCATGCTTGTGAATCAAGGCTATATCGAGGCAATACACACAGTATGCATATATGCCAATTAGAGACTGACCAGTTTCAGTCCTAAACATCGATGGGAAGGTTCAAACAAACAATACTCAGTGAATTTAAACTGGAAAGAATGTTTATGGAAGAAACTTATGTCATAAATCTATAACGAAAATTTGTAAGAAGATCTACATTGATTCAATTATAGATCACAAAATGTTTTCATCATTGAAGATCCAATTAGATAGACTTTTATGATTATGATTGATCAAAAAAAAATTTTCATTTTAAATTTGACTGATGTATGGATAGACTTTGTTAAAGCCTAAATATTCGTTAGTATCTTTACGTATTTTAAATTTTCAAGTTTACAGTTTATGATGTTGTAATGGGTGGATTCTCTTTTTTACTGAATGAACCTCATTTACAAATTTAACATTTGCTGTATTATAGTGAATAAGAACACAAGTGGGGACAATCGAATATATTTGAATAATACAAAATTACAGAACATCTTAGTAGAATCTGATAATCATACAGTAAATAGTTCATTTAAAAAAATGTCAATCAGTTGTCTCAGTCTTCATTGTTCTTTCGTTTCTATTACCAATCATTTTTTATTTTCATTTGTCTTTTCTTCGATCTTCTTAACCTTTTGTCTCTAAGGCATTCCACTTTTGATTGATGTTATATACTACTTATATCTGTTGACATTAGTAGCACAGTACAATATGATCTAGGTATTACTTCAACAATTGTTATTGTTGGGTTCATTTATGAAGTCAGGTTAACAGATTATTAATAAAAATTACTTATTACTTGAAGTTTATTTTTTTGACTATAATCTAGTGATGAATCTTATAAATAAATTCGTAATATCAACTTTGATTTATTAATTATTTAACATCAGAAGGGGCTTTTTGTGAATAATATAGTAAGTTTAATAGTTCAGATCAAGAGTCAATTGAAGCTAGATAATCATGGAAAACCTAGAGACGGGATCGTGGATGTGCACTGGTGAGGAGTCCCACAATCAGACGAGACGGCCGTCCAGTACTTCCAGGTTTTCCATGATGGTCTAGCTTCAATTGATTCATGATCTCAACTATTATAATCATTAACTATTTATTTGGTTCATTCAATTGGCTTTAACAGTAGAAGTATGAAGTATTTCAGTTGAAATTCGAGGAGTATTATTATATTTTATAATCACAAGATTCTATTTTAATGTGAATTTGTCAAGATTATTCAAATAATTATCTATTCACTATAAGGCATAGTGTTGCGCTTAAAATTGTCTCATTTTCTCTAGTTGATATAAGAAAGCCTGCTAGGATACAAGAGATTGTTTAACTCAAGAAAACGTACTGTCGACAGGTTTTTACCAATTATCAAAGATCTATGAAAAAGATAAGACATTTCTAGTTAAAAGGAAAACAGAATGCCAATAGATAAGATTGAATGTGGTGTTCAAGACCTTCTGATCTTGAATTAGCTCTGAGGTTCGAGTTGAGGTTAACTTTATAACTAACAGTTAATAGTTATTCATTAATTCATTTCTTTATCGAAATCCTGTTACCGAAATAGGAACTTTAGTCAATACTTTCTTATGTTTGTAAAACAGCTCTGGGTGAGACTATAATTTATAGACGACCTTTGAGCGACTTTAAAGTGACCTTGAGAGTGTTCACCTAGTAACTAAGACCAAATGAAGATTGGTATGATTTTATGTCTGGCTTTTTATCACGTGAATTATCCACCGATCGAAATACGACTTTTCTAATCTTAATACTGTGCCGAATCAGTGACTTCCACCGGTATGAGTAGTCTAGCATCCTTATTGTTCATTTGTCCGCCTAACCCTTCCAGTTGGGTCTAGAATATCAATAACAGCTTCTGGTAGATGAATCATTTATTTCAAGCATACTCAGTTTATATACTAGACGGATAGACTCCATCATACCATAAAATAGGAAATAATGTTTGTACAAGATTAAGCCAAATGTGGCTGTGAACGTGGGAGACAGTAATCAATAAACTGAATATAATTTAGGAACAGTAAATCGTATAATAATAATCCATAGGTCAAAATGGTGCTTATAATAAGATGAATATAGATATACACAATCTAATTACCCAATACTTAAACAATAAGAATATATATATGGAATAATAGTTTATTAATAGGTCCCGGAAGTTACCTGTACATATGTCTTCGCTAGGATATAACAAAGATTAAATAGTTAGGGTTAGGAACTAGATTTAGAGTTTTCATCACGAACCGACATTAGCTATAATACCAAAACGGTATCTTGCCAAATCGATGACAGAATTTCGCGCCAAAATGAAGGATCTGTTATCTTTTACCTGATTGGTTGGTCCATAAATTATAGTCTCACCCAGCTCTGTAGTTAGAGAAAAGAAACATATGCTTATTGAGAGCATAGTTACGTTAAGAGTTGATTGTCATTGTGCTGAGACAAAGCAATGGGATTTTCGATAGGCTAAAAGTCATCTATTTTTTCTGCTCTATGATTGGTCGGTTATTATTTTGATCCATACTTATAACTTGTAATTACTGGTATTTACTTATATAACGTGATTCACTGAATCCTTTTTTTCCACAACTCTTCTCTAATTTTTTTTATTCAATGAAACCACCAGAAATCCCACTATTTGGTCGAATCATTATCGCTGTTATTGTTAGTATATTAGTAGTATTTTCTACATTAGGTAATACTCTTGTCTTATGTGTATTAAACAGAAAACGTACATTATCACAACAATCTCAAAGAAAGACAGAATCAATCGTTCAATGTTGTGGTAAACATAATTCATTACAAACATCAATGATTGGAATAACCCTTACAAAACGTTCAGTTACTTATATATTTTTAGTTAATCTTAGTTTGTCAGATTTATTGCATATCTTAATTTGTGCACCATTTACATTAGTTGCTGATTTCTTACTTATTTATTGGCCATTTGGAGGCATCCTCTGTCGTCTTGTCAACTATTTACAAGGAGTTGTAGTATTCATATGTGCATTTACTCATGTTATTATATCAATTGATAGATTAACTGCAGTACGTTGTCCTATTTGGCGTAGACGTAATCTATCTGTTACTAATGCACGAATGATATTATTATTAATATGGTTTTGTGCAATGATTATATCAATTCCTAGTTTAATTGTATGTCAAATTATTGTTGATAAAGATGGATTAACACATTGTCAAGAGGTATGGTCAGAAACGTTTATGAATACTACATCAATTGTTGATTTGAGTAAATCTAATTTCAGTTATCTAACAAATGGATCCTTAGTACAATTCTCTATTTCTTTATTCAATCCAAAAGTATTTGAAGAGTTCAATGATTCAAATCAGATTTCCTTGGAATTAATTTATAATTGGTTAATTATATTATTTCAATATATTCTACCATTATTTGTAATTATTATTACATATTCAGCTATTATATGTCAAATATGGATATCAACTATTCCTGGTGAAGTAAACGTACATAGAATTAAAAGAAGTCGAGCAAGTAAAAAAGTAAGTGTAGAAAGAAGAAAGTATCTCGAAGATTTCATTTATTTACTTATTGAGTCATATAAATATTAGTACAAAGGGGCACGAGATATATCTGAGCCACACAAATCTTATTTGATTTGTGTGAGGGCTGTGATACTGCCTGAGTGCCCAAACCGAAACAGGTGGTTTTCTTAGGGCGCCACACTCCGAGCCTTCGACCTAAAGATCTCATCCACAAGGCACTGGAGCATCGTAGCCGGTGACAAACACTAGGTCCATACACCATTTGCTCATTTAGAATACTGGAGCCCATATGCACCATTGGTTTGGAGTTAGAGTTTTCCAACTCCCCTAGGTGAACTTTCCGTGTCCACCAACCCGGTTAAAGCGCTGGACATTCGCTTTTCATCCTCTCACCTTCGTGAAAACACCCCTGCCACGAGAAGGCAGTGAGTAGGACTTCCCTAACAGAGGTTGTGTACGCGTGGCCATGTGAGAGCATTTCGAGAGGTAATGAGGACTCTCCCCCTCTCGGGGCATTTGGGGGCATTTCGAAAATTAGTTAGTTAAGAAACTTCTTTTTCGGTATCATTGAATAATATCCTATGAATAAGAAATTGAACAATAAATCTGATACACGGTTAGTTGACAAAGTAATTAGTTTATGTATAAAAGTAAAAATTAGTTTGTTTCAGAGACCTTTTGATCACCAAACTAATGATGTGAAATAACAGTCAAGATCAGTTAGGAGATAGTTTCATTTCAGTTAACAAATGTCTTACTTAACTTCCACATTAACATAAAGTATACCATTATCTCAAATTGATTAGAATAACAACTCATCCAGTGATTCTCTCAGTTTTAACCGAACTCATTTCTAAAGGGTAAATGAATTTATGGATCACTAGGCGTTAGTTTACTTAGAGCAACATCATCTACTGTCTTTAGCGTCCTGGAGAATAATAGTCATTTTATCCGGATTTCCACAAACGATAGATGTTTAAGAGAATAAAACTGAAATGTTAGAATATTTAGATCGAACCCATTTTCTAGGATTCGTTTTATTTAGTAGAAAAGAATTATATATTTTGCAGCGTCGTAGAAAAACCTGTATATAACTGTTGAATTACATTATATAGCTGGTTAATCATCAATACCGATGATATTCTTCAACTTATGTCGTGAAATAATTGATGGAATAATTTAATTTTATTAGACTAATGTAGTTTATTGTACCTGCGAGAGAGCAATCCGATATCATCAGGGGGCTACAACTTGAACTAATCTACCAGATGTTGGTGTACAAATCAACTTCAAGCTCTCAAAGCATCAGTGAAATATGAGTTCATCTGAGTTTTCTTGATTGAAACAGGGCCTACTTCATCAAGCATCAAGAATTTTTTCATTCAGACTAATAAAACAATATGACTGTTACTTGAAAGATGCATATAGTATAAAGGTTTTTCGACTCCTTATATAAAACGAGGGGGTTTTGTGGAGATTTTAGTAATTTTATATAGTTAAGATCATGAGTCAATTGAAGCTAGACCACCGTCGAAAACCTGGAAACTCAGTGGTCTATCGGCTAAGTACTCTGGCGCAAGGCTGATAGGTCCTAGGTTCGAATCTTTGCTTAGCGGGATCGTCCAGTGCTTCCAGGTCTTCCACGATGGTCTAGCTTCAATTGACTCATGATTTTAACTATATAAAATCCCTATGTAACATTTGAAATGAAACAATTAGTACATCGGTTTATCATGGTTTAAACGACACGCTGGACATATGTTTTGTCCTAGAATGGACCTTTTCAGCATTGCGTAACAAGATTCACCATATGGGAAATGATGTAAGATCTACAGTTTCACGCGCGATCGATCTCAGTATAATTTTTTAATGAATTATACTGAATATCAATATTTTATGAAGGTGGATTTCAAAACAAATTAATTTAAACTATGTTCATATTTTGGATTTTTTTCATCGTGGAGAAATAAATGAACGATTTTCTGTGCGTCGTTATTCATGAAATTCATCAATGAACTAGTATATATCGGTCATTAACGAGTGACCGGAGACCAATTTTAAAAGCTTAATTGCTATCATACAGGAGTGTACAGGTCAAAAGGGGAGTCGGTTCACAATTAAATTTATTATTAAATGTGATTTTGCAAGCGATGTACAATGAATTGAAATAATAATCCATTGAAGGTTAGTTCATTAGCGTAAGAAATATTCAACTACACAACATGTTAAACAGACTTTTCTATACTTATATACTTTATCTCGTTATTTCAAGTGAAAAACGCATATAATCAAATAAGAGGATTCATAAGGAAGATCATAAATCGATTAAATAATGGTTGATGCCAGAAGAAAATAGAGACATGGAACTGGTGGAGAATATTTGTAGGTCAGGTGGATGATCTTGATGAAGTTTTGTTCTTTTAGCTGGTCAACAAGAACTAATCAACATCGAGGTGTACAGGACAAGCTATGAACCACACTTCACTTCTACCCGAAGTTTGTGATGATATCGTTCAGAAGAACGATGAAAGCTCCCCAACCAAACCATCCAGATCAGGGAACAAAACTCCATCAAAGATATGGAACTGTTCCATGCGTACATATGTAGATCGTCTTTTATTGTGCACAGTTATTGTTGAAGAATAAGGCATTTCGTAAACTGAGTTAAATTAAAGGGATCAAATACTGTCTTACTTATTTATGGTAAACATGAATATTAAATTCTGTTAGTGAATACTGATTTTATTCATTCCTACTATTATTATTACTATAATACAAAAATGATGTCAGCTTGTGATTTTCATGTTTTACCTAGTGAATACAAGTAAGTTTGTAGGCACTTTTGTTCTGCTGTTGGTAATACTCATGACTAAGTCTTAACCAGTCTCTGTTAACATTTATAAATCCTGAGTTGATGACTCGGTATTGTAGCAGTTTAAAGATCCCCATAGAATATTCAAAAATGAATAATATTTGAGCGAACAATTGTTTTCAATAACTTCATCATCAGGCTCTACAGTTATAAGTCCATAATTGGTATTGGTCCTCAGTTCAAGGTTTATAAGGATTTAATCTACTTTTAACAGTAAACTTGAAAGAGGAGGTTTCTTTTTATTGAAGACTTTCCAGCTCGATACACGTAGATCTTAGGATCAATGTTGATACAGAGACACGAACCTAGTACTTATCACTTCGAAAGTCATCGCGTTACACATCAAGCTGCTGAGTTCAGATAGCCACTAACTTATTTAGTCAGTAGAATGTTTATTCATTAGTGTTTTGTATGTTGCTATGCGAATTCATCATCATCACTAATATTATAATATTAAAAACGACAGTATCATTTTAATCACTGAATCTGTACTACACGTAACAAGAGTATAGGCTATAAACAAAATTAAACTGATTACTTGGATTAAATCAAAAGTGTTATTTAAGTGAAACATAGTGTATTGAAAAGATTAGGTGTTATGACTTTGGATCTGGCTAATTATCACATTATTTATTTGCAAATCAAAATACGACTTATACAATCTTAGTACTGTGCCAAACCAATGACGTTCGACCGTATGAGCGGTCGAGCGTCCTTATTGGTCCTTTTTCCTTTTAGCCCTATCAGTTGTGTCCAGAGCATCAATACCAGTTTCTACTATGTGAATCATTTATTTTAGACATGCCTGGTTCATATACGAGCTAAAGAGACCACACACCAAGCTAAGAAGTTTCTGTGAACGTGGGAGACTGTAATTAATAAACTGAGCATAATTTAGGAATAGTATAATAATCATATAATAATAGTTTATAATGTTAAAATAAAGCTTATAATAAGAGGAGTATGAATATACATAGTTTTAGTAATTTTATAGCTGAAATCATGAGTCAATTGAAACTAGACCATTATGGAAAACTGATAGGTCCTGGGTTCGAGTCTTGCGAGGCGAGATCATGGATGCGCACTGCTGAGGAGTCTAACAGTAGGAATGAAACGGCCGTCCAATGCTTCTAGGTTTTCCATAGTGATCTAGCTTCAAATGGACTCATGAATTCAACTATATAAAACTACTAAAATCTCCACAAAACCACTTCTGAAAATAAGTAAAACGTTTAAAACTAATTGAACCGTCTAAAAGATAAACACCAAGTGTTTAATATAAAGTGACATAGATTTCCAAATATTTTACTAAACATTTGAGGTCAGTCTTTATGCTTAGAATATGGTAAATAGAAACGGAACTAGGAGATAAGTATCCGATGGAAGTTAAGTATTTTATCAATCATTAAAACATTGTACAGTATACGGAGTCGGGAGAAAATTCTTACAGATGTAATTCTAAACTATTCCCTAGATTGTCGAGCATAGAGTCTTAGCTTATCCAAAGTCGGAGTAAGTTAATTGTTTTGATAAATTTTATCTGTTTCTAAAACGTAAATTAATACTGTTAGTATACAAAAAAACGAAACAAATAATAGTCTATTAAACAGAGAAAAAGAGAGAAATAAATAAAATATCAAACAGTAACTAGAGGATAGGAAAAATGAGTTAACAAAACTTAATATCATAAGCAAAGATGCGAACGACCTAACTGTATGTATATCAATTTCTACCTCTTCACAATCCATAGAAATGAACGAGTTTTTATCTCGTATTGAACGGTGGTCTGTTGGTAATGGTCTCTTACTCAATCCATCTAAATGTCAAGCTGTTAATTTTAGCTTGAGATGTGGACAGAACCTATACTCTATGTTGCGATCCCATAATGCTTGTGCCATTGGAGACTCCTTGATAAACACAGTGTCGAAGGTCAAATATCTTGGTGTTACTTTTTCCTCTGATCTTTCTTGGTCTTCTCATGTTTTGCTGTTATCGAAAAAAGTTTACCGTTTGACATACTACATAAAGAGGCTGCATGCTTTTGGGATTACTCGCCATTTACTCTTACAATTTGTAAATTCCTGCATATTACCTATTATTCTATATTGTTCTCCATTATTCTTTCCTGGGCTTTTGATAAAAGACTTTGCTGTTTTGCGTAGAGTGCTGAAGGCATTTTGCTAGGGGTGTGGTGAATCTTTTGAAGTCATTGTTAATATGCTTGTGGATAGACATCTTAAGGCTTGCAAACTCTTGGCAGGTGTTATCTTATCAGATACTAAACATCCCCTTTATTCATATCTTTCTCCTTGTATATCTTCTGGTAGAACGAGACGTAAATACATTAAAATCCATACACGCAAGCAAATCTATAAAAGTTTTGTAATACCTGACCTAGCAAATTTACTTTGTGATGAACAGGCTGTTAGAGTTGACCTAGTAAATAACCTGTATTCTTAAGCATGTCTGATTTTTTTTGTTCGTTTTTTTTGGTAAAAACTTGTTGAAATAACTCGTGCGGAGAATTCTATATTGTACCAGAATATAATATTAAATAAAGCCATTAATAATAATAAATGGATAGAGGCTAGCATTGGAATCCAGGACGCGCGTTTCGTCCTATTTAGGACTCGTCACCTGGATGTACCTACATCTCAGAGTTGATGTTCGCTCTAGGACTCCAACCCAGTACCTTTCTCTTCAAACAACATCACATTATCCACTTAGCTACTAAATCCTCATAACCATTAGCTTGTGCAATGGGATGAAGTTTAAATTCACATTACTGGATTCCACTGCTAGCCACTATCCATCTTTGCTTATAATGTCAAGTTTATTTTAGGCATTTGCTGAAGACAATAATATATCATACAGAATGTAATATATATGTTTGATAATGTTTATGATTTTTCTCTCTCAGATACGGGATTTATAAGGCTTTATCCATATCTTTAACTGATGCCAAAATACAATTGGGCTAAGGATACTACGAAAAATCATATTTTGGGAAACTATTAGAGTTAACATAGCATAGTATTGCATGAAACTATAGTGTTTTGTTTGCATGAATACACTGATGAATACGTTCTTTGATTGAGAGCTTAAAAGAACTATGTTTACCCTGTATTTCATAGTAAGCCACTTTGTTTATTAAAATTTCTTTATTTAATAATGGTATATAACTTAGAAAATATTTATCGAGTATATGGACGCTTTTATATCAACGACATAACGTGTATTTTCACCATGAGTTCAATAAATGTGTTGCGTACACGTTACAGACAACAAAATTCGACCTAAGGCTTCATCACCACACAACTCAATAGTAGGGGCAACCTTGATGTCCAACTTGGGCAGTCGATGGAGATCAGGCTAATTACCCAGTCCTTTGTATCCTTGATTATCTCGGGTTCCAATTCTGGGTTTACTTAAACTCACCGAACCATCTGACGTGTTTGCTTATGTATGAGAATTATAGACGTCCTCGAAGTGTATATGGTGTCATACAATAGAAACGTTAGCTGAATTATTGTCTGTCCTATGTCTAATAAAATCAGCGGCCTAATCTATTAGATCAAAGACATAATAAAATGGTATGATAGCAAATACTAGAGAGGGGCGACAACAACCTCCCCTGAAAGAATGTTTATGCTTATGTGCATCGGGAAGTACTGGGGCAGTAGCCATGAACTGAATGATATGCATTTCGGATGTTTGAACTTCGTCTATACCCATACACTATTTTAGGTGGTAACTTAGCATTGAAAATAGTCTTAATGCCTTTTCAAAACATGACTTCATCAGGGGAATTCTCACCTGGAACAATAGGGTTTGGAATAGTTCTGTAAGCCGTTAAAAAGTTTGTGATTACCTATGTAGTTGTTTCCCTGTATCCTGCTTTCAGTAATGCTCTGTTAAAAGTGTCGACAAAACGCTCCGTCTGTCCATTCGATTGAGGATGATAGGGTGGAGAGCGTATACGCGTTACTTCATCCACCGTCTCAAATGTTTATGAGCCTTGAGAATACGGGGTTCATTAGGGATGGACCTACATGGGCCTTCCTAGGGAAGGTTTTACAAACTAATCTGGCTGGAACACCACACACAGTACGCGTTATTGGTTGAGGTGATCATACTGTTCAGAAGTCCAGAACCATGGTTATACTTACCATTATGATCAACTATTGTTCAAGAAATTGCTTAGAATTATGATGTTTTCATTAGAATTTAATAAATCATTTATTTTTTGAGTTAATCTTAAATGTAAATGAAAAGTCAATAATTTTTTCATGTTTTTCCTTGACAGCTCATCAAAATGGTGATTATCGTAGCTTCTTTGTATGCCATTTCCCAGTTACCAAGACATATAATTTATTTGATTACAATGAATAAACCTGATGCATTTGAAAGAGATACAATTATCTACAGTTGGTTATTATGTCAGTTAAGTGCATGGTCAGCTACATGTTATAACCCAATAGTTTATATATGGATGAGTCGAACATTTCGACGTGAGCTATCTGAAATTTTCAACAATCTATGTTTTTGTTCAAATGTACAAAACACTACACAATATACGTTCAAACATTGTGACAAGCATTATTCCAGAAAAAATAATCGATATAACAGCAAACATAATCATAATCTTTGTAATCAACATCTTCAATCCCATAATCAAAGGAGATATTTTCCTTATTCTAAAGCAGCTACTTATAACTGTAACAGTAGTAATAATAATATTAGTCAAGTGAAAAGTGTTGAGGAGCATATTGTTGACGAAGAGTATTCATCTACTAATACTCAGTATTTCAGCATGAAAACCTTGGATAACACAAAGATTATCAAGATGAATAATGACATCAATAAACAGCTCAAACTATAAAGATGATGATGAATTCAGTGATAATGTGAAATGTAAATGTGATAATGTAAGTAGAGCGAGTAGATTAATATTTGCAGAATAAATTGAATTCAATATATTTCAAAGCTTCTCATCAGCTGCAAAAGGGCTCAATTTTACAACCAAAATATTGGTATTCAATTGTTATTATATACCATAATCAATGAACTTTAGTTAGAAACGATTTAAGAAACAAGTAGGAACAATATATTTCCATAGTTGAGATCATGAGTCAATCGAATCTAGACCACGAAGGAAAACCTGGAAGCACTGAACGGCCGTTTCGTCCTATTGTGGGAATCCTCAGCAGTGCGTATCCACGATTTCGCCTCGCGAGATACGAACCCAGGATCTACTAGTCTAGCGCCATAGCACTTAACCGACAGACCACTGGACCGGCATTCCATGGTGTTAATGTCTATCTTCAACCAATCCACGAAGTTGAGCAACCATTCACCACTTCTCTTCAGTGAGTTGCTATCTCACAATAGACCTGGTTGAACTCCACTGATCACTGCTTCTCACTAGAACTCCAGGAAATACCTCTTGAAGCCAGTCACTGACATATTTAACAAAATAGTTTAGACTGTTTAGTTGAAAGAGGAGAAGGGGTTAAAGATGTAAATAATATGGGAGAGAAAATGAATATAAACAAACTATCGACAAACGAATGATAATCAAAGCACCTATGCGACATAAAATTAAAGTAAACGTCTTGAGTGAATATCAGTGGGATTTATTTTACTTACATTTATGAACCAAATTGTAGAGATAATGTAATTGACATGGGTTAATGTAATATAACTATCATATAATGGTGACGATAGGTGTACAACACTTTCTTCCTGTATTCAAAAGTCAACTAGAAAGCGTTCGATGGCAATAGCCGTTGTGTGTTGTCTGTTAATTATTTTGAAAGTTTTTGAGACACCCACGTTGTGTATTCTACTTATCGAATATTTAGTAATCACACACGTGGAAACTTTTTCTTCCATTCAGATACCTCGTACATGGAATATGTCCCGAAAATCTTGTAGATATCCTTCTTTCAGTCCTTCCTATATACTTGTTTCTGTAAGTACACATAGACTAGTAAATGCATCTGAAGGTGACCTTAGAACTGCATTGATCAACTTTTAATTGATTTAAGAAACATTCGGTGTTACAAACCGAAAATAATTGAGCTACTATTGGACTGTCTCTTTGCGGATTGGTCAAACTATAATGTTGATTCAACAAATGTTAACATCTATAAGTACATATGATTTTCTGTGCATTTCGATTCTTACCAAATAAACACTTCTTCAGCTTTTCTCTGTCTTCTGATTTGTGATAGTGAAGTTCCAACGTTCGAGTGTTGTAGTTGTAAGCCGTATTCTACGTTAATCAAGTAGCAAACTTAACAGTATGGTGTGTAGTGATATTTTTCAGAATCGTCTAATGTTTAAACTTTTGAACATTTAGATAAATAATGTATGGACGATTATGTGAACGTTTCCATAGTTTTCATCAGGCATACTAGGGTTTTATATCAAAATTGCTCATGAATAGGAAAGTACTAAATGAATACGGTGTTGTCAAATATAAGTTTTTTTGACCTCATCAATACTATTCAGTGTTATCAATAATGATAATATGGGTTTCCTTACACGTTGGCTCACGACAGTTATTATTGCTTATTCAAATGACAGGTGGAACTGTCAAAAACTGGGATAGTGGCTAGCAGCGGAATCCAGCATGTGCGTTACGTCCTATTTGAAACTTGTCAGCTGGATGTACCTGCATCTCAGAGTTGATGTTCATTCTAGGACTTGAACCCGGTACCGTTCACTTCAAACGTCATCATGTTATCCACTTAACTACTGAGGATTGATAGCCACTTGCTTGTGCAATGGGGTGAAGTTTAAATTCACATGGTATCGTTTACTTGAATCTTGCTATTGATGTTTAGGACAGCAACTAGTGAGTCTCTTATTGGTATATGTGCATACTGTGAGTATTGCAAAAACTGCCAGTTGCAGTCCTAAAAATCAATGGGAAGATTTAAACAAACAATACTAAGTGTCATAAAAATTATTTGTAATATTTACGAGTACACAAAATACCCGTTTTTTTATACTAAATAGAAAAATTATGAGCAAAGATGGGTAGTGACTAGAGTAGTGGAATCCAGGGCACACATTTCGTCATATTTGGGACATGATGTGTACATTACTCAAAATCTGGAACATGAAAATAGTATTTATGATTCAGAACCAATCAATAGTTATAATTAATGTAAAAGTGTACTTGATTTACAATTTTGTTGTGACTTTATAAAAAATAGGCTGCATGCCAATTAGTTGTGATTTTATGTCCTGTTTTTTATCATTTGAATTATCCACCAATCAAAATACGACTTTTCCAAACATAACATTGTGCCAAATCAACGACGTTCGACCGGTATGAGCCATCTAGCGTCCTTATTGATCCCTTGTCCGCCTAGCCCTTCCAATTAAATCCAAAATATCAATTGCAGCTTCTGTTATGCAAATCGTTTATTTCAAACATACTCAGTTTATATACCAGACAGACAGACCGCATCACACTATAAAATAGAGAATAATATTTGTACAAGATCAAGTTAAATGTGGCTGTGAACGTAGGAGACAGTAATCAATATGTAGAATAATCGTCCATTAATAAATCCCGGAAGTTACCCATACTTATGTCTTCATTAGGATATAACAAATTTATTTAATCATATTAAATTATTTTATTGTTTAAATATCATCGAATTCACTTGGATAGAGTACTTCACGAAGATTATCCGTATTTAGTAGACAACTTCTTAACCAATTATATATTACTAAACTAAAACAAAAAATAACATGGTTATTTTGTAAAAGTATTTGTGTTATGATTACTGTTTAGATGATACAAAGTATTCCTTATGAAGTTTCTCCATCGATGATATGTATTGTAGTGCCGTGCTTCGTTAATAGTTCACCTCAATAACAGTTATTATATCAATCTTTTAGGTGTATAATATCAGAAGGCAAAGGGAAGCAGTAACTACATTTTTATTGATAAATGATGTAGACCAGAAAGCTGTGAGTATATGAGCATATGTTAGGGAGCGAAGCTAAGATGATGCGTAGTGGAGATGGCTGGGAAGCTAACTCGAGAGCGAAGCGAAAATAATGCGCATTGGAGATGGCGGGGAAGCCAACTCACTATAAGCAAGCATTAATTAATATTTATAATCAGACAAAAATGAATGACAGACATTTGATGAATACGATACGAATTGTGCATACACATACGCTAATATAAAATAGTAGTCATGGTTAATAAGCGAATAATTAACAAGATCAAAATACGACTCATAATGTGTAGGAGAATTGTCTTGGCCAGTAGCTAGAATAAAGTATATAGGCTTAACATATAAACCGATACTACAGTATCTTATGTTCACAGTGTACTTCATCACTTATCTCATAGGTGTATAATATGTTTTCACCTTCTTAGTCTGAGATAGCAATAATTCATATGTGGGAAATTTCAGTGTGTTCATCTACTTTAAGTGAACTGATTCAAAATGGGCATCTTTTTGAACTAATCCAAAAACAATTGACAGTCAATTCATTGAACATAACTTATATAACCTTACAATGAGGTTCCTTTACATTTGTATAATATAAAGGCATTCGAATTACATTAGTTCTGCTAGTATCAAAAGTAATTTATGATAAGCTGAACTTCTGTTATGGGGAGGCAAAACCCAAGTGACACGTTCTCGTCGTGCATCCTGGATCATGGGACTGTTTTCATGAACTAACGTGAGCGGTAACCCGTGTGGTGGAGATCGGCCTAATCAACCACTCTACATATATCCACAAATGATTACTAAGGCTACAAAGAAAGAATAAGTCTGCTCAAAAAATGCAGAATAAAAGATGAAATGATTCTGTGTAAGCAATGCAAAAACAGCTATTTAGCCCCAGTAGTTGTTCTGTGCTTCGGTGTATCCTCTTCTTCAGAAGGACCTAATAGGCTTCACCATGTTACTGTGGTTGGAAGGGGGGGAACTTCTGTTATCTCATGTCATCTGGTTTACTGAAAAAAACATTTAATTGAAAAAGTAAGAACGTTGTGGTTTCGGAAACTGTTAATTATAATTAAAGGTTCATGAATGGTATTCTATGCAGATTACTCCTATGGTCAAACTTCGTCCAAGTTTGTTAAGCTAAACTTCATCAATGTAATGTGCTACAATGAATTTTCAGTAGAATTTAAAGAAGAAAGCTCAAAACATTCTACTGATGTTTTTCAGGTAGGAGCTGACCTAAGCGACCACAAATTGTTCTCGACTGTGGCACCAGTTGATTCACATGTAATTCAGCGTCTCAACTGTTACGTAAAATGTCTAATCATGTTAAGGTAATTAGACCTAAACGAATTTAGCTTTCAGTGATTTATGACAGTTTATTAGTAATCAAAATACCACATCCATTCAATAACCCAATACACAAAATCCATGCAGTGAAACATCTTTACAAATGTATTGACGTCTAATAAACTTACTATAAATCAAAGTAGAATACTCTGAAAGGTTAAAGTTGATGCTGTACATGTTTACAATTATAAGCCTAGTTGTTAATGAACTGAATGATATCTACTTACTGACAACGATAAAGATTTGTAACACCTCAAAGTTACCCATTTATTAATAGTAGTCTTTACATAATACAAACTATGCTGTTAAGGTATTAGTGGTGTCAAACGAACTGTGGTTATATAATATATAATATACCCATGTGGGCCAGGGTAATTTTACATCGATTTTCAGGAGAACCGGACACCATCCAGACTTTCATGTAACAATCCAAACATTACAGCTCAATACCGTTTAGTAGGTAAGCCGGACACTACCCAGACTTAGAATTTGTGGCCCAAAAAGAACTGGTCGATCCCACTTTACAGGAGGACCAGACACCATATAGGCTATAACGCTAAAATCTGAATAGTACACCGCAATCCTGTGGCGCGACCATACAGGTACCCAGCACCCTGGTGGACCATTCGCATCATTCATATCAATTATGCACAGCATGGACAGGCCAAAGTTGACCTATTCCACTTACACGGCAATCAAACTCAATAATGTTAGCAATGGCGACTTGCCTTACAACGTCCCATCAGAACAACCAGCATTATGAATGAAATTGGTTCACCATCACGCCAATTTTGATCATGAACAGTCAGCAAAACTTGCCAAAGTAATGTCGAGCCAACCACAATATTAATGGTGAACCTCCAGTCTCATATAAGACCATCAGCTGTATATAGGAATACAACTTATACTGCATACAACACATGTGTAGGGTAAAAAACGAAATAGCCTAGCCTGAAGCGTTAGGGCTTTAAGAACCTAAATAATTTTGAAGAAATCTTTGATAAGATCACAAGCAAACCGATGGGAAAACCTTTTTTAGATACAAAAGTTCTATTCTATCAACACATGTGTGCATGTATGCTATCAATACATAAAAAAGCATAGTGAATAAAATGTTTTTTTTTGGAATTAAAAACGCTTTACATCAGAACGTTTTTCATTGGTAAAGCAGTGAATATTGCTGGAATGTCTGATAACTTACTTACTTATTTACGCCTGTTACCCCTCGTGGAGGAGCTTGGGCCGCACACCAGTATTCTCCATCCAACCCTGTCACGGGCAATCCTTTCCAGATCTTTCCAGTCAACATTCATTCTTTTCATATTTGCTTCTATATCCCGTCGCATTGTTTTTTTGGTATTCCTCTTTTCCGCTTTCTTTCCGGATTCCAAGTTAGGTCTTGCCTCGTGATGCAGTTTGGTGATTTCCTTTATGTATATCCGATTCACTTCCAACATCTTTTCCTAATTTCCTCTTCAGCTGGAAGCTGGTTTGTCCTCTCCCACAGAAGGCTGCTGCTGGTGGTATCCGGCCACTGAATGTTGAGTATTTTGCGAAGACAACTGTTCATAAATTCTTGTACCTTTGTGATGATGGTTGTGGTAGTTCTCCACGTTTCAGCTACGTACAGTAGGACTGTCTTGACGTTCGTATTGAAGATTCTCACGTTGAATTTAGTTGAGAGTTGTTTTGAGTTCCATATGTTCTTCAATTGTAGAAATGCTGCCCTTGCTTTGCCAATCCTCGCCTTTACATCTGCATTCGATCCTCCTTGTTTATCAACGATGCTCCCCAGGTACTTGAATGTTTCCACCTCTTCCAGGGTTTCGCCATCAAGTGTGATTGAGTTGGTGTTCTCCGTGTTGTACCTGAGAATATTGCATTTTCCTTTGTGTATGTTGAGGCCTATTGACTCAGAGGCTGCTGCTACATTTGTTGTCTTCGTCTGTATTTGTTCGTGTGTATGAGATAGGAGGGCTAGGTCATCCGCGAAGTCTAGATCGTCTAACTTGTTCTGAGATGTCCATTGTATTCCGTGCTTCCCTTCAGATGTTGAAGTTTTCATAATTCAGTCGACCACCAGAAGGGAGAGAAAGGATGAGAGTAATCAGCCTTTTCTGTTTTCGGTCTTTACTTGGAAATGCATCTGTCAACTGTCCTCCATGCACGACTTTGCACTATAGAATACCTGATAAACTATGTATTAATTAAGTTCTTAAGCTTCATAACTGTTAGTTTTCCCTAGGAAATTATTGACAAGAAAGTTAAAGGTTATAAGTTTTCTTTCCGATTCATTTCCATGTTATAAAGTAAGATTCAAAACAAATTTCCTATTAAACTGAAATGATTACTTACTCACTTGTTACTCGTTTTTTAATTCTGTAAATTATTAACATGTATATTAGATGTTACTTGATTTTTATGATAAGTTATTAAAAGAACTACAAATTGAGAATATAGTTGAGAACATGAATCAATTAAAGCTAGACCTCCATGAAAAATCTGGAAGCACTGGACGACCGTTTCGTCCTATTGTGGGACTCCTCAGCAGTGCGCCCAATTTCTTGGATTGGTTGAAGCTAGACATTAACACCGTTGGATGCCGGCCAGCTTAGTTTTCTAGAAGTTAAGAGCTCTCGCGTGAGACTAATAGGTCATGGGTTCGGATCTCGTGAGCTGAGATCGTGAATGAGCACTTCTGAGGAGTCCCACAATAAGACGAAACGGTCGTCCAGTGCTTCTAGATTTTCTATGGTGTTCTAGCTTCAGTTGACTCATAATCTCAACTATACAAAAAAAGGAAAGGTATGATTGAAACATTAAATATAGAAAATATCGAATAGGCTGAATATTTAACAATAGTTAATACCATTGAATAGTATTTTTCTAAGGAACACAATTATTTACTGAAATCACAAAGAAATCAATGTGACTAGTTAGAAAATGCAATCCAATGGTGACTTGAATTTGAAACTAATTTAGGTACGAACAATAGTGATCGTTGTATTCAGCAGAACTCCTAACTCACCTGGATCTTATATAATGATGAGTAGTTTAAGAAATTTGTTTTAATCAGAACAATGAATTTAGGAGTACTCACCTTTGCCATGTTGAGTTTAAAAAACTAAAATTCATTTCAAATTATTGAAAATGTAATTTTGAATGAAAATGGATAGACTATTTAAAAATCGAAAGCGTGAGTCAATTGAAGCCAGACCACCATCGAAAACCTGGAAACACAGGACGGCCGTTTCGTTCTATTATGGGGCTCCTCACCAGTGCGCATCCACGAAACCTCTCTCGCGAGATTTGAACCCAGGACTCACGCTTTCAACTATGAAAAATACTAAATCTCCACAAAATCCCTTCTGATAATCAATATAATCATATGCTCACTAGTGACTTCGAGAAGTATATCTAGGAGCTCTAATGAGAAGCAGTGACCAGTGGAGTTCACGTCTGTTGTGAGATAGGAACTCACTGAAGACAATTGGTGAATGGTTGCTCAACTTCGTGGATCAGTTGAAGCTAGACATTAACACCGTTGGATGCCAGCTCAGTGGTCTATCGGTTAAGGGCTTCGGCTCGAGTTTGGCAGGTCCTGGGTTCGATTCTCGCGAGCGCCCGTTCGTGGATGCGCACTGCTGAGGAGTCCCATAATGGGACGAAACGGTCGTTTAGTGTTTCCAGGTTTTCGATGGTGGTCTAGCTTCAATTGACTCACGCTTTCAACTATGAAAAAATCTCCTCAAAACCCCTTCTGATATTTAAAAGTAAATAATTTTTATGACATTATTTCAACTGTATTGTCCATTTATAATTGATAATTAAGCCAAAAAGATTTATCTACTTTGGAAATTCAGTAACTGCTTCACAATTATATAGTTACTAAGATGAATTATTTCATTCATAAAATGATATGTACAGTACAAAATGATAACAATTTGTTGATTTGTTCTCATTAATTATCTAATTTTAAAAACGATCTAATGTAACTACGCTTTTAGCCCCTACGGAGGCTATTGCCGGTTGCAATCCCGGATAAAAAAGGTGGTTTGAGAATGGGGTTAGCTTCTCTATCCCGTAGAAAATTATCTAGCTAAAAATACGCTAACTAGAAAAAAATTATTCAAAACATTTAAACCCTGCCTCGGGAGTCAGAAAGTATACGTTTAAAAGAGTTATGACACCTTATGATTAAAGTCGAGTTTCTTTGGAAGTCACGGAGCAGATGCCTCTTCTGACAACCAGAGCAATCATTTACTTAGGTACATGGAATGCTCGTGCAATGTGGGAGACCGGGAGAGTCTTCCATTGTGAGTAACAGGTGTAAATAAGTCAATAAGTACGATGTTAGGTAACCCTTTATAATGTAAAATATCATTATGGTTGTAAGGATGGATCCTTATAGATTGTAAAGTGTAATGACATATTTGAACGACATGGGAGATTTACATTTAATATCGTAATATGAGTAAACTTTTTATAAGAAATATTTTTATTTTAGTAAACCATGTACTTAATGTTCAATTTCATCAGTGATATTAGTCTTCAGCTAAAGTCTTTGTTTACAGATGTCGAATAGGTCATTAACTTTATCAGTTGAAACATAATCCTTCCTTTTTATTTATTTTTCTAAAAACAAAACTCCGCCTGTAGCTCCTTTGGGGGCTACTGCCGGTCCCAAGCCCGGGCAAAGGAGGAGGGTTGGGTATGGGGTTAGCGACCACATCCCGTAGAAAACTAACTCGCTAAAAAAACGCTAACAAGAACAAAATTATTCACTGGTCGGCGGCCTATGCTCCACTGGGAGTAAACAGGCGTAAGTAAATTATGACAAGACATCAACAAAATGATGTTTACCGAAATATAAAGAATCCCATAATATACTTTATCATATTTGGAACACAGGATTAATACATGTTATAACTTGGGACCTGGATGCCCTGATTATGTAGAACGTGATAATACCGCCAATTAGAGAGCAGTGGATTATGGATCGGACCAATGATACATTAAACCTGTGCGAGCTATCTTGAGTACTTTTTAGTCCTGCTTTCTGCCTAGCAAAGCCAGTTACATCCAGAAAACTAATCTCAACCTCTATGGTATGAATTCTTTATTCAAAGCATACTGGTTTTATATACCGAACAGACAGACCACATAGTGCTATAAAATAGGAAAGCAACATTTGTACGATATTTAGCCAAATGTGGCTGTGAATAAGGGAGATGGTAATCGGTAGACAGGGCATAACTCAAGAATGGTAAACTGCATAATAATAGTTCATAAGTCAAAATAAAGCTCATAATAAGAGGGATATGAATATGAATTGTTTAGTTATTTAACAATTATACGATAAAAGTATGTAGAGAATAGAACACGACTGGGGACAATCGAATGTATTTAGGCAAACATTACAGACTATCTCAATAAATTCTAAAAACCATGCAATGGACAGTCAATTTGCAAGTTAACAACTAATAGTCTCGATCTTCACTGTTTCTTCTCTAATTCCATTGTTCGTGCATTTTCCTAATGATTGCGCATCGTTTCAGTTCTTTCCTCATCGGTCTTCTGCCAAAATACATTCTATGTCGGACCAACACCATATACTACTTATATGGATATAAGTAGACCACACCACAAGTATACTCATAGTACAATACATCATCTAAATGTTTTCTCTACTCCAACTGCATGATACAAACTTGTAATAAAACATAAAACATGTCGTTGTGATGTTTGCTATTCATTAATCCCTTAACTTTTTTTGTCAAAGACACTTACAAAAAACATACTACGTCTAAGGTAGCTTGCAGTAAACTAATTAAATATAAACGTAAGTACTATATTTTAATTACTTCACAATTATCAGAAGGGGGTTTTGTGGAGATTTTAATAGTTTTATATAGTTGAAATCACGAGTCAATCGAAGAATAACCATCATGGAAAACGTGGAAGCATTGGACGACCGTCTCGTCCTATTGTGCGACTCCAGAGCAGTGAGCATCCACAATGTCACCTTGCAAGATTTGAACCCAAAGCTTAACCTCTAGATCACTGAGTCAGCCAGCATTCAACGGTGTCAGTGTCCATAATCCATCTTAATATAGGTTACTTTTGAATATCACAATTCATATGAAACAATCCTAGTTTATAATTCAAATAAACAAATGAAATACTCTGTGAAGGAAAAAGTAAACTTACCTCCCATCACCTATAATTTAGAACAAAAAAAAGATAATAACAAAAGTAATCTATGGTTTCATTGAAAAAGAATTAAAGACAATTCATCAAAAGAAATATCCTTTTAGACAATATTATATAACAAGATAATTATCAACTTGACAGGTATGAAAAAAGGTGACAACAAATAATGTGGATGCGCACTACTGAGGAGTTCCACCATAGAACGAAACGGCCGTCCAGTGCTTCTAGGTTTCCCTTAGTGGTCTAGCTTCAATTGACTCATGATTTCAACCACAAAATACCCCTTCTGATTTACATTTTGATCCATATTATTTTGTATCATAGTTGGAACATAAGTGGGAAGAGGTATGTAAACAGAAGTTCAATTATAGGAAAATAAACTTTTCAAAATTTCTTCTTTCCCGTTTTATGAATGTCTGATCCACAATATGAAAGGGTTATCATAGTAAAATTTTACGGATTAAGTTAACAATGTGTATTGAAAAGTATTACAATAGTTTCTTTTGAATTACAATGAGTAAATGTTTAAGAATCGACAAATATTAATGATTGGGAAAAATTCAAAACAATCTAATGATTGAACACTATTCTATGTTCATAGTTGAAAGCATGAATCAATTGAAGCCAGATCATCATGGAAAACCTGGAATCACGAAACGACTGTTTCGTCATATTGTGCAACTCTTCACTGGTGCATATCTACGATCCTGCCTCTCAAGATTTTAATCCATGTAAATGTTAACTGGTGTAGATCTACTTTTGCCTGTTACAAGTTTTCAAACGACTTTATTGACTGTCTAACTTTAAGGTGCCGTCCAAAACACCTGAATAAATACAAATATATTTATGTTACCAATATCTACATGACTCCAGACTGCACATCATCTGCGCTATCTGTCTTCACTGATAAATTTACTGAATTCGCCGTTACTGCCTTCAGTGATTCACTTTCAATTGTATGTGGTGATTTCAATTCATGTGACTGTAGCTTCCTTACATCACTAGGTCACCTAAATGTAGTAGATTTTCCTACTCGTTTGAATTCTCATCTAGACTTGGTTTTCATTAATGATGTGGGTGCCTAGGTGACTCGCAAACGTGCTCCATTGTCTAGTTCGGATCACTGTATAATTCGTGTCTTACCTAAAGTATATGGTAAACATGGAAAGAGTACACACATACACCATACCAAAAAAGTAGTATATAGGAATTACTCAGAAGAAAATTTACAAAATCTAAAAAACATGTTTCGTACGACCAACTGGGAATTATTTACAGATGACTCAATAGAAAACACAACGGATGTTATCACCTCTTATCTTAAATTCTGTTTTGATATTTGCTGTCCTACCGAAACCTTCTTTTTAAGTTATGATCGACTTACATCTCCACAACTAAAACGATTACGGAGGGTAAAAGAAAGGATGTACAAGGAGAAAAACACTATTGAAGTTCGTAAGTTAAATGATCAAATAAACCAAGAGATTAGACGTCTCAACTGTGTGTTCACTCAAAAACTTCTATCTTGCAGAAGCTCTCCAAGTATGTGGAAACTCTTTAAAGAAATTACAGGGGACAGGCAGACTAGAAGCGATAACCAGCTAAATGTTTGTGACTTAAATAAGTCCTTTATTCAACAGTCATCTGACATCATGCTCCCTATATCCAAGGGTTTGAAGAATAATTGTGTCCCCAGTTTCACTGAAAATGATGTCTGGAAATGTCTCCAGTCTCTGAATTCATCCCAATGTTTAGGACCTGATGGTATCCCAAACCTCCTTTTTAAAAATGTGCCGATGTTTTATGTTATCCATTAATGAATATCTTCAACAGATCCTTCTCAACTAATGTCTTACCGAAAATGTGGAGAAAGATAAAGGTAATCCCTATACCTAAGAAGGCTTCTGGTGATAAAAATGCGAAACTTAGACCCATAGCAATAACCTCACCTTTCCTCAAAATAATGGAAAAATTACTGATACAACCACTTCAACCTGTAATAAAAGAGCACTGTGATCCATATCAGTTTGCTTACAAATGCAAAAGAAGCACATTAGATGATGTTGCTGTTCTGCATCATAATATAGTGTTCGGGTTGGAAAAGAGTAAGAAGTATGTTAGATGCGCTTTCCTGGACTTTACTTCTGGTTTTGATTCTATTCCAAAACACCTCTTACTTAACAAGCTGATTCGCATCGACACTGACAGCTGGATAACCAATTGGCTATGTTCCTACCTTTCTGGAAGAGAACAGTACACTGTCTTTGAAGGAAAGTGTTCAACATATCTACTGTCTACTGTAGGTGTGCCACAAGGAGCTGTTCTTTCACCTCTGCTCTTCTCTTTCTTTTTGCATGATCTGCCATCTTCCACAGAAAACACTATTGTAAAATATGCGGACGACCTCACCGTATGTATGCCAATTTCTACCTCCTTACATCCTATAGAAATGAATGACTTTTTATCTCGTATTGAAAGGTGGTCTGTTGGTAATAGTCTCTTACTCAATCCATCTAAATGTCAAGATGTTAATTTTAGCTTGAGACATGGACAGAACTTATACTCTATGTTGGGATCCCATAATGCTTGTGTCATTGGAGACTCCTTAATAAACACAGTGTCGAAGGTCAAATATCTTGGTGTTATTTTTTCCTCTGATCTTTCTTGGTCTTCTCATGTTTTGCTGTTATCGAAAAAAGTTTACCGTTTGACATACTACATAAAGAGGCTGCATGCTTTTGGGATTACTCGCCATTTACTCTTACAATTTGTAAATTCCTGCATATTACCTATTATTCTATATTGTTCTCCATTATTCTTTCCTGGGCTTTTGATAAAAGACTTTGCTGTTTTGCGTAGAGTGCTGAAGGCATTTTGCTAGGGGTGTGGTGAATCTTTTGAAGTCATTGTTAATATGCTTGTGGATAGACATCTTAAGGCTTGTAAACTCTTGGCAGGTGTTATCTTATCAGATACTAAACATCCCCTTTATTCATATCTTTCTCCTTGTATATCTTCTGGTAGAACGAGACGTAAATACATTAAAATCCATACACGCAAGCAAATCTATAAAAGTTCTGTAATACCTTACTTAGCTAATTTACTTTGTGACGAACAGGCTGTTAGAGTTGACCTAGTTAATAACCTGTCTTCTTAAGCATGTCTCAAATTCGATAATTTGTATAAACTCAGATTTTCTTAAACTTTTTTTTAAATTCCTTTTCTGTTTTTTGTTGTTGTTTTTTTTGGTTTTATTTTTTGGAAAAAAACTTGTTGAAATAACTCGTGCTGAGAATTCTATATTGTACCAGACTATAATATAGAATAAAGCCAATAATAATAATAATAATAATAATAATAATAATAATAATAATAATAATAATAATAATAATGAACTCATGGAAAACCTGGAAGTAATGGACGGTCGTCTCATTCTATAGTTCAATTCAAAGTAATTATCATAATTATTTCTCTTAGTGATTATTGATGATACAACAATAGAAATAACATAGATTCAATATTACCAAGGAACATAATATGAGATAAGAACAATTTTTCTTATGAATATCATGAACTTACATGACTTGAATAATAAAAAAATTATTGACAATATGAGTAAACAGTAAGTGAACTTGAGCATGAGCACGTTCAGTAACCAGTTAGGTACTTTATATATTTCACAATTTTGTTTATTTAACAACAAAAAAAAAGAAAAAAAAAAGACGTAATTATGAATGTACAATGTAACTTCTAATTCATATTTACACACTTGTTTATTTAATTAAAAGTGTTATTGAATCAGTTCTTTTTTCTTTTATTCTCAAGTACATTAATAATTCAATTACACATTTAAGTATATTTGCTTAATTTCAATTGAATTAATTATGTATAAATTGATTCATTACAATTATATAGTTGAAATCATAAGTTAATTGAAGATAGACCACCATGGAAAACGTGGAAGCACTGGATGACCATTTCATATTGTTTTGCTGTTCCTCCGCATCCACAATCCCGCCTTGTGAGATTCGAACCTATGACATTTCAGTCGAGCGTGAGAGCGATTTACCCATAAAACCACTGATCTGGCTGGCAACCAATGGTGCTAATGTTTAACTTTGACCAATTCACGCAATTGAGCAACCATCTACTATTGTCTTCTAGAGGTTTAGCGCTGACTTGCGACACTGATAGGTCATGGGTTATAATCTCATGAGGAAGGATCGTGGATATGTACTGCTGAGGAGGCCCAAAATAGGATGAAACGGCCATTCAGTGCTTCTAGGTTTTCTATAGTGTTCTATCTTCAATTGATTCATGAATTCAACTATAAAATTACTAAAATCTCCACAAAACACCTCTCTGATCATTACAATTAGTTAACGTTTATAAATCGTATTCAGAATAGACGCGGTTTGCCATAAGTGTATTAAAATTTTACAATAAAAGATAAACAATGTAATTGTTCTACAGTTTGAGATAGTAAATTCAGTTACTATTTATAAACCATATCTGGTTAAAAAAAATTATTTCGATACGATGGTGGTTGGAGGTGGTCAACATCAGTGAGTTCCTATCTCACGACAGACGTGGTTTGCACTCCACAGGTCACTGGTCACACTAGACCTCCTGGATGTAATTCCCGAAGTCATTAGTGAGCATATGATTATATTAATTATCAGAATGGGTTTTGTGGAGATTTAGTATGTTTCATAGTTGAAAGCATGAGTCAATTGAAGCCAGACCACCATCGAAAAAAGTTAGACATTAATACCGTTGGATGCCAGCTCAGTGGTCTATCGGTTAAGGGCTCTGGCTTGAGACTGGTAGGTCCTGGGTTCGAATCTCGCGAGCGCGGGTTCGCGAATGCACACTGCTTAGGAGTCCCATAATAGGACGAAACGGCCGTCCAGTGCTTCCAGGTTTTCGATGGTGTTCTGGCTTCAATTGACTCATGCTTTCAACTATGAAATAATTCAAAATTAAATAACTAGCGGTAATTCTGAAACGTGCTCATCCCGTACAGCAAACTTGACCTATCTGATTTTGTTGATGTAATTACTGGCACTGAAATGAACTTAAAGATAACGATATCTTCAGATGTGCATCCACTCTTCAGAAATGTCCAAATAACTTAAGCACTATGAACTTTATGTGAATATATATTGAAAGAACTAACCTCGTTACTTCTGCAACGAAACAAAATCAAAGGAAGGAGTTTGGTATAGATTTATTAATGAATCTTGTAGATAGACAAGTGATATACATATAGGTACCCTTAAAAGACCATTTTCTAACAGACTATCTCATGGAGATAAAGAACAGAACATTGAATAAATCTCTATTAAATGTGATCACCTCATTTATTAAACTATTTCACTCATAGAACCAAAGAACAACATCATCTGAATAGGTTAAAAGATTCATCCCCTCAATTATATTTGTTATCAAACATGTTGTTGACTTAAAGCATAGACATGAACTTAAAACACTGTTATTACTGATTATTGGTTGAGTACTTGAATACATACTATTGGATCGGAGATGGTTACTATCGAGGATTGAAATGAGGAGGATATTTAATGAAAACAAGTATTCATCGAACATCTCCAATACCATTAGTCAGTTTTGACTTTCGACTTCCAACGGAACTGTATTCGAAGTATGAGACATTAAGAATCAGTAGAAAGTGATTTCTTATCAATGATTGAGTAGAATTGTCTCCTAAACAAACATTTCTATATATTTTTGAATCCAATATTCACAATTCATCCCATTGTGATCTGATCTCTTGAATGAAATTTCACCTGTGTGACGTATTAGTTATTCACAATAATGAAAATGCTATTTCGAATTGCCATATACACAAAACAATGAGTATTTATCATTGGTTCTCTATAGAGCTGCTTCATCATCATTCCCTTCAATTTATTCCGTACTAGTTACTTATGAATAAATCACACCGAATACCTGACTGAATGTCCAATAACTTCAGTACGATAATTATTTTGTTTGTGTATTTCAACAACTGTCTGTTAAGTTTATGTTTCCCCTTTCAACTCCTATAAACGCTGACTGATTTTAAATGCATCTATCCTAATGCACATAATTTCATTACAACTGTTACGACATCGACATTGATTGTAGTAGTATGAAGTGTTGTGTGAGGTTGTTTCTTTGCGTTATGAGACTACTGCGGAGTGCCTACTCATGGCTGATGCTGGCAAATAACGTAATTAGTTCTACTGTGAATTCCTGAACAAGGATGATTATTTCGTATTTGACTTGGTTTGTTTGTTATATCCTGAGGGAAATTATGGATGGTAAATTTCGACATCCATTTATGGACCAGTGTGATAAGTATATTTCTTATTCTATAATTGTTAAGTAGCGTAATCGTTCATATTTATGTTCCTTTTATTATCAGCTTTAATTTGACTTACCGTACGATTTACCATTCCTGAGTTATACCCAATCTATCAATTACTGTCCCTCCTATTCACAGTTGCACAAGCACTCTAGACTACTCATACAGTTTTTGTGTATCATTAGTCCGATCGAAAAATTACTGCTCTATAATAGGCAAACCACACGATATGACATTGTTGTACAGTTCTATTGTTTGAATCTGTTAATTTTTCGACATATTTGAGATTTGACAGTCACTATTGTTCACTGTAATCGTTGAATCGCTTATTGAACTATGACAGTGATCATTTTCGTGAATACATAGCTATTAATTTTTAATTCTGAAATTGATATTCACTGACCACTTTTATCATTTATCATTTATCGTAGATTATATGAAAGACAAGATTATCAAAGTTCTCAGTGAATCGAAATTTTCGTTTTATAAAACAAAGTATAATCTGGATTGTAAAACTGATTTAATCTTTCACCTAAATGTTATTTATCAGAAGGGGTTTTGTGGAGAATTTAGTATTTTCATAGTTAAAATCATTAGTCAATTGAAGCTAGATCACCATCGAAAACCTAGAGGCACTGGACGACCGTTTCGTCCTATTATGGGACTCCTCAACAGTGGGCATACACGATCCCGCACTCGCGAGTTTCGAACCTCGGACCTACCAGTCTAGCGCCGGAGCGCTTAACCGATAGACCACTGAGCTGACATTCAACGATGTTAATGTCTAACTTCAACCAATAGATGAAGTTGAGCAACCGTTCGCGAGTGCGGGATCGTGGATACACACTGCTGAGGAGTCCCATAATAATGCGAAACGGTCGTCCAGTGCTTCCAGGTTTACCATGGTGGTCTAGTTTCAATTTACTCACCATTTCAACTATGAATATTGAATTGTGTTTATTAGTTACAATGAAAGCATCCAAGAAAAAATCTTTTATCTAGATCAATAAACAGCATCACTTGAATGCAATAGTAGATGTTCTGGTATATTAAGCCATACTAGCTAGTAAACGCCCGAGTAGCTTAGTGGTAACGTCTCTGTCTGTGAAGCTGATTGTAAGGGATTGAATCCGTCAGGAATCACCTCTTCCCTCAAGATTACAGATACACCTTGCTGACGAGTGCTAAGTAGCACGAAACCCGGGTTCAAGGTTTCCTGTTGACCACCTCCAACCACCATCTTTGTTGGTATACTTTGTACGTTTATAACATGTTAACAGTAGGAACAAATTAAACTATACATTTATAGTAGGCATTAAAATAATGTTTTTTTTAATCGAAATAGCGTATTAATATACAGATATATAATGTAGAATATGTTCATCAGATCATGTAACAGTATTAGCTCTTATTGAATTGATCTTCTTTCATATTCAATTTGTCTCATTAGGAAATAACGCTGCTCTCCATAGCGATCCTTTAAAATAGCATGATTCAAGCCAGTTTAAGATAAGTTCACTAGATAAATACAATGAAAGTAAATCTATCATTACAATATTGTTTATTATTTATATGAATTAAAGATGTGTACTGTTTATCAAGATTTATCAAAGTTAGAATTTTAATGAACGAGAATACTAGTGAGGGACAACCAAGCGTATTTTACACACTACAGAATATTTGGGTAAAATCTAAGAACTATACAGTAAATACTTCATGTACAAAATGTCAACTAATTGTCTCAGACTTGATTGTTTCTTCGTTCCCACACCAATCACTCTCTTTTTTCGTCCTCGTCTTTTCGATTTCTTCAACCTTCTGTCATCAGACATTTCACTTTTGATTGGTACTAAATACTACTTATATCTTTTGATATCAGTAGCATACACCACAAAATTACCATTATTGGTTTGTATTTCAGCAAACGATTATTTGAATTTGAGGAGTCATGGTTTTTCAATCTACTTGTTTAGTGTTAAGTAACATCTATGTAATGAAGTTTTTTTTCTTTTGTTCATTTTTCTGTCTACGCTCTTTTTTCACGATTGATATACCCACAACTTTAGAAAACGATAGAATCATTTTATCAGAAGGGATTTAGTGGAAATTTTAGTAATTTTATAATTGAATTAATGAATCAATTGGAGATAGACCACCATGGAAAACCTGGAAGCACTGGATGACCGTTTCGTCCTATTTTGGGACACCTCAGTAGTGCGCATTCACGATTCTGCCTCTCGAGATTACAAACCATGAATTATCAGTCTTGCGCGGGAGCGCTGGTTTTCAATTTCGTGGATTAGTTGTAGCTAGATATTAGAACCGTTAGATGCCAGCTCGGTAGTCTAAAGGTTAAGTGTTCACACGCGAGGCCAATGGATTCTGTGTTCGGATCCCACGTGCGGGTTCGTGAATGAGCAATTCAGGATGTTCTTATTTTTCTGTTATATTACATTTTGTCTGTGAATAAACAATATACTCAAATGCCACTACTTAACATTGAATTAATAAATCAGCTTTCACTTTGATGATAAGTAAACTCACAAGAAGTTAAACCAAAATTCCCTTAAATTTGACAAAAAAAGATTAAAAAGATTTGATGATGCCATAATTCTAACAAATTTATTGATGTCAATATAATTCAGTCTAAAGTTACTTCTCGATAGGCTATTCGAGGTCCTTTTTTTCTTTTCTAATGGCTGACTGTAGACAACTATGAGCCAGAAATAAATGCTTAGATATTTTAATTTCCTAAATATCAGTCCGCCTGTAGCTCTTCTAGAGTTACTGTCGGTCCCAAGCTCGGGTAAATGAGGAGGTTTGGGCAAGGTGTTAGCTACACTATCTCGTAGAAAACTAACGCCAACGAGAAAAAATGTCAGTCCATTAGAAATAATACTTTATACAAACTAAATAATTACTTTCATACGTTTTGATGGATAATTTATAAATGAAAACCTGAAAGCACTGAAAATACCGCTTAAGATTCCCGTACTAGGATGGAATGGCCATCCAGTGCTTCCAGGTTTTCAATGGTGGTCTAACATTTATTCATTCATAATATCAATTGAAACTCAACAATCACCACAACCCTATATTGACAATTATCGTGTGCTTACTAGTGATTGGCTTCAAGATGAGTTTCCTGGAGTTCTAGTGAGAGGTCGTCGCCATTATAAATCAATTACGTCTGTAATAGAGGCAGTTATTGACTGAAGACAATAGTGGACAGTACCGCAATATGGTGGATAAGTTGAAGTTAGATATTAATATCTTTGCATGCTGGCCAATTGGTCTAAAGTTTAAACGCCCACCTACGAGACCGAAGGCTCAATGTTTGATTCTGACGTGCAAGATCGGGGATGCGCACTGCTGAGGAGTCCACTTGGCAGAAAATTCACACTAGTGTCTTGAAAATCTGAGTCAACTAGAACACTACTAATATTAGAATAATATTAAACTTGAAAGGAAATCAATAAGAAGCAAAGTTGGTATACAAAAAGGAATTCTACTTTTTAATTTCACTATACCTGCAGTTGTTGAAACATGACTATTAACAACAAGATAAGCAACTTTAATTAAAATGAACTTACTCATGTTCCTGCCTTTCCAAGCTGAGTAGTAGTATTTAAAATCAGTTGAATAATGTGTATATCATTGTTTTGTATTTGAAGTGGTGGTTGAAGGTAGTCAATAAGAAACCTTAGACATAGGTTGAGGGCTATATTATGCTCTTCATCGACATGGACCTGTAATCTTGAGATCCTTCTGGATTAATTTTATCACGTTTCACCATGCTTCACAGTTAAAAAAATTAACACTGAACCCTTCGGATCGCAACTGACCTTCTGTACGACTGACGTATTTAAACAACTGATAGGTCACTTCATAATAGGTAGTCTACAAAATAGAATCAAGGGCTCATGCTTTATCCTAATTGGTGCTCGTCAGCTTGGATGTGTGTGTATCCAAGAGTTATTGTTTAACTGGGTTCCTTTCGCTCTAAACCCCAAACAGGTTATATAATTATGAACTAAGTAAAAAGAGCATTACCTTGCTGATGAATACCAGACAGTTTGAACCAAGATCTAGGGTTTCCTATCTCTTATATCCAACCGCCATGATGCGCCTTATCATAGAGCGAGCGGTGTTAAATCATAAACATAATTCAGCTACTAATTTGAAATACATGGTATGCATTAGATTGGCCACTTTTTGGTAATCTATCAGTTGTTAACTTTGGAAGGTAGATTAAATTTATACGGAAAAAAATTAAATGGAATAAGCAGTTCATTTTTGGTATTTGAGTGAGAAAAAACAGGTAACTGTATTGATACATAAAAGTAAGATCAATCGTTGATTAATACCGTCTACCAACTTACGTATGAACGACGAAAATTCTCAGCCAAAAGACATACTTTCTTGACCAACTTATCCAAATGTTTACTAGGTCATGTCATTCAAACTCGTAATAATTTGCAAAGATTACGCTGTATAAATTACGCAGAATATTTGCAAATGCTACTTTCAGCCAATCAACGGTAAAACTATAATAAGTCTTCTATGCTCAGCATAGGGCCGTCGTCGCGTTTTGAGGCTAATAAATCTTCATTTGTACCAGTGTTTGTGTTTTTACATTCGCTTTGTGGGAATAGAAGTGGTTCCTCACTTTACAAGTATAAATGATAAACCATTCCGACGTAACAAACAGAGACGATCAGATCTAACAAAGTAGCGTTCAATCAGTAACCATATCAAACTGTAACATATAGGTACATTGATTCTTTGATTATATTTGAAACCTGATTGTAACAGGTTGACTAATAGTAAGAATCCAGGACCTACCAGTCTCGCACCAGAGCACCTAACCGATAGACCACTGAGCCGGCATCCCACGATGTCTAACTTCAACGAATCCACGAAGTTGAGCAACCAGTTCTCCAATGTCTTCAGTGAGTTGATATCTCTCAACAGATATTAACATGCCGGCTTAGTGGTCTATCGGACAAGTGCTCTAGCGCGTGACCGGTAGGTCCTGAGTTCGAATCTCGTGAGACGGGATCGTGGATGCGCACTGCTGAGGAGTCCCACAATAGGACGAAACGGCTTTCCAGTGCTTCCAGGTTTTCTATGGTGATCTAGATTCAATTGACTCATGATTTCAACTATACATAAAAATTACTTAAAAATCTCAACAGAAAACCCCCTAATAGTAAGAATGTTTATTATCAATCTACGTTTTGAAGTAAAATGTTAATTAGAATTAACTTACAACACCTCCCATCTGTTTTTACTAAAATATTGTTTAACAATTTGAATTTACAAAACATTCATTTATTTCCCATCAAGTAGGTTACTAAAGAAAGTCCCTAGAATTGCATTTAGGTACACTATCAAAAACACTTGAGTAACCATGGAAATCTGGTCCAAACTTCAAACGTTAATAATAATCGATGAAGTGCATAGAATGAATGTTTGTTCATTTGATTCTAACAAAAGTGTGCTTAGATAATCAAACAAAAATTTGATATAGATACGCATATCGGCAACGCAAAAGCAACATATTTACAATTGAACAACATCTGAAACTCGAAACAACTGTTTGTCAACTAACACCAAGATCAGAATTTTCAATACATATGTCAAGATAGTTCTACTATAAGGGAGAACTATGAAGCCCATCATCCAGAAGATACACGTGTTTATTAACAGTTGTCTATGAAAAATACTTCGAATCCGTTGGTCAGACATTAGCAGCAACACTCTACTGTGGGAGAGAACAAATCAGATTCCAGTTGGGTAAGAAATCAGGAAGACGTGCTTGAAGTGTATAGGACATAAATTGATGAAAGAGCATAACTGCGTCACAAGACAAGCCCTCACATGGAATCCTGAAGGTCAAACGAGAAGAGGAAGATCCAAGAACACATTACGCCGATAAATGGAGACAGACATGAGAAGAATGAGCAAGAATTGGTGTGAACTAGAAAGGAAGGTCCAGGACAGAGTGTGTTGGAGAACGGTGGTCAGCGGTCAATGCTCGACTGGGGATAGCAGGCGTTAGTAAGAGAGTAAGTATAATAGTACTAACAGTAATACTGCATTTATTCAGTATAATATGTTCAGTTTAATATGGAATTCTTAGTATTCCGGCCCTTGAAGTTGAACCTGGGTTGCGTAGGTAAAAGGCAGGAATCATAACCATTAATGAGACCTTCACGGTAGGTCTCAAATAAATTTTATGATAAGAGTGACGACTTAATTCAGCAAAAGGTTGAATAATATTTTGAAATAGTGACTTTTCATTCAGGGCTCAAGACCGACAACACTTAGAACTAGAATTCATTTGATAAACTGCAAAATACTGAGAATTTACTTCTACAGTCTATTGTTATTCTATATTAAGTATAATTAAAATAGGCAATCAAATGAATTTGAATTTAATTTCATTGACTCACATGATTTGATTAATCGTTGGACTGAAATAAGAATGTTTATCAAATAAGATCACACATTTTAATGATACAATGATAATACAATGTCTTTAACATTGTTAAGTTTTCTTAATCTCTTTTAGAAAAAGAAAAAAAGCATCTCACTGTTGAGGGACAGAACTTACAGAGGTGAAAACGTAGTTTTATCAGAAGGGGTTTTGTGAAGATTTAGTATTTTCATAGATGAAATTGTCAGTCAATTGAAGCTAAACCACTAGGGAATACCTGGAAGCATTAGACGGCCGTTTTTTCCTATTGTGGGACTCCTCAGTAAACTTATTTATTCGTTTTTACCAATTGCTCTGTTGATAGACGATCTGTGAACGTTTGAAGAATCCAATATCAGACAAATTTGATAAATTGTACTTACTTGAAAGAGGATAATAGTTTATCACAATTTTACTGTTTATTTATCTGTAGTAAATTACTCACCTATATTTATATACACGAAATTGATGAAAGTACAACATTGTATTATTTAAACTTGGATTAATTTTAATTTGTATAGTTGAAAGCATGAGTCGATTGAAGCTCGACTACCATGGATAACCCGGAAGCGCTGGACGGCATTTTCGTCCCACTACGGGACTCCTCAGCAGTGCGCATCCACGACCTCACCTTGGGACATCCGAACCCCAGGAACTACCATTCTCGCGCCAGAGCACTTAACCGATAGACCACTAAGCCGGCACCCGATGGTGTTGATGTCTAATTTCAACGAATCCACGACGTTGAGCAAGCGTTCATAAATTGTCTTCAGTAAGTTAATATCTCACAAAATGTCGTGGATGCGCACTGCTTAGGAGTCCCACAATACGACGAAACGGCAGTCCAGTGCTTCCAGGTTATCCATGGTGATGTAGCTTCAATTGACTCATGTTTTCAACTATGCAAATACTAAATCTCCACAAAAAACCCCTTCTGATATTAATTTTAATTTGACTGTTTATTCTTTGAAGAAATGGCTTACACAGAGTTACGAAACATCAGAAAATCTAATTTTTCTACTCATTGAGATATTAGTTTATTTATAAGAAACTACCTAAAGCTTAATTAACTCGAAATTATCATGATCGAAACTTGGTAAGGATACTGATGACTGATGTAAATGTTCTACAGTTAAAAAGATGGATGTTTCCTGAAAATTATTAATTGAAGACATCTAGGTTCTTATTTCTTGATTGATTGTCATTATCACTATTGTGATGTGGGTGACTAATATCCACATAAGTAGTATATAATGATGGTCAGGCATAGAATGTATTTCAGCAAAAGATCAATAAGGAAAGAACGGGAACGAAACGCAATTGGTATGAAAAGTTATGAATAATGAAATCAACGAAGATTGACTGATATTTGCAGAAGGAACAATCAAGATTGAGGCAATTGATTAATAGTTTACAAATGAACTTTTCACTGTATGATTGTCAGACTTCAGTGAGATATTCTGTAATTTTGTGCTTGAATGCATTCAATTGTCCCCACTCGTGTTCATGTTCACTACACTATGATTAAATATCATCGTATTTAAGTGTAATTAATAGAGTTAACCAACCATAAGATTATCATAACATTCAAATATTTCTCATCTTAGATACATTCCAAATTAATAATTCTTGACATAACAATTTTGTATCTCTTATTATGAAGTTATTTGTGCATCTTTCAAACGAGAAATAAATCGTTTACTCATTGATATTTACAGTGAACAGTGATCAATTTTAACTGGTAACTAAATATGAATTATCAGAAAGAAGTTTTGTAGAGACTGATGAAGAATCTTATACAAGGACGAAACGGCCATTCATTACTTCCAGGTATTTTATTATAGTCTAGTTTTATTTGACTCATGAATTCAACTATTTTGTTTTGTTTTCCAATGCTATTTATTATTCTTTATTAAGATTTGGCATCAATTAATACCTAATTGTGAAATTAATAATACCGTTAAGATCTATACTTTGTTTAGAACCAATTGTTGTTTAGTAAGTTGGATTCGTGGATGCGCACTGTTGAGGAGTCCCATAATAGGACGAAACGGACGTCCAGTGCTTCCAGGTTTTCGATGGTGGTCTAGCTTCAATTGACTCATGATCTCAACTCTATGAAATTACTAAAATCTCCACCAAACACCTTCTGATAATGATCATGTGCTCACTAGTGACTGACTCCTTGAGGTATTTCCTGGAGTTCTAGTGAGAAGCAGTAACCGGTGGAGTTCCACCAGGTCTGTTGTGAAATAGTAACTCACTGATGACATTGGTGAATGGTTGCTCAATTTCGTGAATCAGTTGAAGTTAGACATTAACACCGTTGGATGCCAGCTCAGTGGTCTATCGGTTAAGGGCTTCGGCTTGAAACTGGTAGGTCCTGGGTTCGAATCCCGCGAAAGTGGGTTCGTGGATGCGCACTGCTGAGGAGTCCCATAATAGGACGAAACGGCCATCCAGTGCTTCCAGGTTTTCCATGGTGGTCTAGCTTCAATCGACTCATGATCTCAACTTTATAACTTACTAAAATCTCCACAAAACTCCTTCTGAGAAGTTGATATTCACCAATATTTTATAATTAGCATAAACTATAGATAATTTTAACTTTCTAGTAATATAGGAAAGAATGTTTTGCATGAATATCTTGACTTGAGCTTACCTTGGATCAGCTAAAATCATAAGAGAAAAAGCATTTTAATAAACATTAAATCATTAATCTTTATTTTAAGCATATTTCTCAAAATGATATCAAAATTATAATCAAAAATTGGTAGTGGCTAGCAGTGAAACCTAGGATGTATGTTTCATCCTATTTGGGACTCCTCAGTTGAATGTACCTGCATTTCAGAGTTGATATTCACTCTGGACTGATGTTTGTTTTAAACCCGTGCAAATTATATGTTATGGAATATATATTCACTAGAATGTATTCAAGTGAGTGACATCCAGTTGACGAGTTCCGAATAGAACGAAATGTGCGTTCTGGATTCCACTGCTAGCCACTATCAATCTTTACTTAGAATGCTTGTGAATTAACGCAATAGCGAAGCAATGCATACAGTAAAAAAAAGCTAACTGACCAGCATATATGTGATGTATATTACTTATTACGATAGATATCACATCAATTGTAAGTGGAAACCCTAACAACAGAAGGCTAAGAAGATCACGTTAAAACAAATATACAAACATGAATAAAAAGAATCATACATATAATGTGAAGTGACAGTTAATGGGAATATACAAATGATCTATTCAACGTATGCAAAGATGGATAGTGGCTAACAGTAGAATCCAGGATACATATTTCGTCCTATTTGGGACTCGTCAGCTGAATGTACTTCCATCTCAGAGTTGATGTTCACGTTAGGACTGCAACTCAGTATCTTTGGCTTCAAACGCCATCACATTATCCAGTTAGTTACTGAGTCTTGATAACCACTTGCTTGTGCAATGGAATAAAGTTTAAATTCACTTGATATTGTTTCGGTCAATGAGAAGATTCATTTAAAACAATACCAAGTGAATTCAAACTTCACCACATTGCACAAGCTAGTGGTCATCAGGACTCAGTAGCTAAGTGAATAACGCGATGGCGTTTGAAGCGAATGATACTGAGTTCGAGTCACAGAGTCAATAACAACTCTGAGATGCAGATACATCAAGTTGACGATTTTTAATTAGGATAAAACGCGCATTCTTAATTCCGTTGCTAGCCACTATCCATCTTTGCTTATAATACCAAGTGAATTTATTCAATGTATACTTTACAATATGTACACAATAAGTAATCAATCATTCAATGACATAAAGATTTTATATACTACTTACATTTATTTATTAATAAAATTATGATAAATATCAATATAGTCAATGATTTGATATTCATTATCATCTTTATTTGCCAAAAAGAAAAACAAAACAAAAAAATAAGTAGTATATATCCAACGAACTAAATTTTCTACTGTATATCATACAATTCCAATTAATAAACACCTACATACCAATCATCATATATATCCATCCATCAAATGATCAGTTGTATTCTTTATTTGTTATAAATAGATGAATAAAATTGTCTTTCTAGGTGGCAAAGTCATTCAAATTAGAGATTGGTAATACTTAAAGTATTCAGTCAATTATCAATGATTGTGTAATGTTTACTGTTTTGTATTAGTTCAATCATAGTTTTTTTTAATGATTGAATTCATATCTGGTTTAAATATTACTTCATTAAATATACAATTGAAGTTTAAATTCACTTGGTATTTACTTTGGTTGAATCTTCTCATTGATGTTTAGGATTTAGGACTCAGTAGCTAGTTAGGTAACGTGATGAAGTTTGAAGCGAACAATAGTGGGTTCGAGTCCTAGAGTGAACATCAACTCTGAGATACAAGTAGATCCAGCTGATGAGTCCCAAATAGGATGAAACACGCGTCCTGGAATCCACTGTTAGCCACTATCCATCTTTTTTTATAATTGAAGTTTGATCATATTTTATTTAGAAATAAGGACCTATCGGTGTCGCGCGCGAACGCTTAACCTCTAGACTACTGAGCCAGCTGGTATCCAACGGTGTTAGTGTCTTACCTCTTTACGAATCACAGAAATGAACGAGTTTTTGTCTTGTATTGAGTGGTAGTCTGTTGGTAATGGCCTCTAACTTAATCCATATAAATATCAAGCTGTTATGTTTAGCCTGAGACATGAATAACACCTAAACACCATGTTGGAATCCCATAATGTTTGGGCTATTCGAGACTCTTTTATAAACACAGTATCGAAGGTTACCTTTCCCTTTGATCTCTCTTAGTCTTCTCATATTTTGCTGTTATCGAAGGTAGTTTTCCGTTTGACTTACTACATAAAGAGGCTGAATGCTTTCGGAATTACTCGACATTTGCTATTATAATTTGTTAATTCATGCATATTACCTATTATCCTTTACTGTTATCCATTATTCTTTCCCGGGCTTTTGAGGAAATACTTTGCTAAATTGGAAAGAGTGCTGAAGGCAGTAACCAAGGTGTGTGGTGAATATTTGGATAGTTGAGTTCAAAAATTCAATATTTACAAATGAAATATTATTTTCAATTTAAAAACAGTTTTATCCTTGAATTCATGAGTCAATTAAAGCTTGACCATCATGAAAAACCTAAAAGAACTAGATGGCCGTTTCGTCCTAGTATGAGACTCCTCAGCAGTGCGCATCCACGATCTTGCCTTGTGGGATTTAAACGTATGACTTACCTCCACAAAAACCTCTTCTGATTTTCTTTTTAGTTTCAAGAGTAATTGCATTTACACGAATTTTATAACTTCCAATAAATTGTTATAGTTATTTAGTTCAGAGCACAGTGAATCATGCGTAGGCGTTTACACAATTTAGCACATAGAAACCAAAAAAAATGAGAACAATTTGTTTATGAATACATTAAACTACTTGAATTGATTTATTCATCTATTTATAAATAAATTAAGCAACAATGAAATTTTGTTGATATTGTATGTTAAAAGGAAGTATTAATGAAGTTTCGAAACTCTTTATTACTTATATTTACATTAATTATGATGTATGAGATTCGTAAGTGTTTTCCATGAACAAACGTTTTACTATTAATGTCTTTATTCTATATTATATTCCTGGGGGATTAGTGATTTTTTAACGAGTTAGTTTTCTATGAATAAATACAGATGAAGACAGCCAAAGTAGTAGCAGCTTCCGCATTGATAGGTTTCAACATACACAAAGGAAAAAGTAATCTCCTCAAATACAACACGGACAATACCAACCTAATCACACTTGATGGAGAAACTCTGAAAGATGTGGAAACATTCACATATCTGGTAAGCATCATTGATAAACAAAGAGGATCGAATGCAGATGTAAAGGTGAGGATTGACAAAGCAAGGACAGCATTCTTACTAGTGAAAAACATATGGAACTCAAAATAACTCTCAACTAATTCCAAAGTGAGAATCTTTAATACTACACGGAGCTGAAATGTGGAGAACTACAACAACCATCAACAAGAATTTACAAGTATTTATAGACAGTTGTCTACGCAAAATACTCAACATTCATTGGCGTTTTATGTGAGAGGACAAATCATCTTCCAGATGAAGAGAGAATTAGAAAAGCACGTTAGAAGTGAATAGGACATCCGTTGAGAAAATCACCAAACTGCATAACGAGGCGAGCCCTAACTTGGGATCCTGAAGGGAAACGGAAAAGAGGAAGACTAAAGAACACACTAAGTCGGGAAATGGAAGAAGATATGAAAAGGATAACAAGTAGAAAGAACTGGAAAGGATTGCCAAGGACAGGGTTGGATGACGAATGCTGGTGTGTGGCCTACGCTCCTCCACGAGGGATAACAGGCCTAAATAAGTAAGTATATTTTTTGTACAATATAGAGTTCTCAGAATAAAGTATTTCAACAAGTTCCTTTGTCTTATTTGGAAATTTTTAAGATTTACATTATATACTGATATATGGTAGATAATTAATTGAATTCATACATGTACATCATGCGTTGTCGACTTGGTGGTTTAGAGGTTAAATGCTTATCTAGGAATCTAAGATGATTGCTCCTATCCCCTGTTACGATTCACGAGTTCGCAGTGCTTGTGATTCCTTTGTAAGGAAATAAAAGTGTCTAGTGCCTCTGGTTTTTATTGTTTGTATAACTAAAGTCGGTTTGTAATGAAAAATCTGTGATTTATAAGTAGCTCATTGAATGATCTTGACTTTATTGCTTTCAGCTATCTTTATTCACAAATGTTCTGTGCATTGAAACAGTTATCAACATATAACTCAACATCAAAATATCTTTTCTTAGGATGGATACGTATTGATAATTTTTTTGTGATCATCATATAAAACGTTTATTAGCTCTAGAGATTAAATGAGTCATTACCTTCTGGAAACTTGAAAATTTCACATCGATGTGTTAACTTTTGCGAATGAACTTCGCTCAACATTGATAAGATCATGGTAAGCAAAGATGGATAGTGGCTAGCAGTGGAATCCATTTTGACGCGCGTTTCGTCCTATTTTGGACTCGTCAGCTAGATGTACCTGCATCTCAGATTTGATGTTCACTGTGGGACTCCAACCCAGTACCTTTCACATCAAACGCCATCACGTTATCCACTCGACCAATGAGTCCTCATAGTCACTTGCTTGTGCAATCGGGTGAAGTTGAAATTCACTTGATATTGTTTCGGTTGAATCTTCTAATTGTATTTATGGTTTACAACATGTATACAATAAGTAATCAATCATTAGAGACCGACCTGTTGCAGTCCTAAAACACCAATGGGAAGATTCAAACAAACAATACTTAGTGAATTGACAAGATCAGTCTTTCCAAATCTTAGTAAATATGTAGAAATGAATTAAAGTCATACGAAGACTTTTATAATGAACTTACATGATTGTTTAAAAAAAGGGTTGTGATATATATTTGTTTACCTAAAATTCTGTAAACAATGGGCTATTTAAAGCATATACTCTATGCAATATTTTGAAGAGATACAATAAAAAAAACGGCGACATTATAATTTATGGACGACCTTTGAACGAGTCTCAAGCGACCTTGGCAAATATCTGCCAAGCAGTAGACAGTCGGTATACAGTCATTTGAAGCTAGGCTCCTGCTGAGGAGTCCCATACTAGGACGAAAAGGCTATCCAGTGCTTCCAGGTTTTTCATGGTAGTCTAGCTCTAGATGACTGACGAATTCAACTATTAAAGTACTTATGTAACGAAAGGCTTGTTCATCTATCTATATAATTATAATTGAATATAATGGTTTGTTAAGAAACTATTACTTTCTCAATTTACTAAACAGTTTATATCATGGTCTATATTTCAGAACGTGTACAACGTAAGTATTTCTGTAGTTTGTTAACTATATGACATTGACATTTGATGACTATTTGTTTTCTAAGTAATCAGTTATAACTTTTAGTTATTCAAATTGAAACTGTTATAAAAATGACGAATATTTACTGTTGTGGTTTGCGCTACTGATCTCGACAGATATAAGTAGTATGTATCATAAGTTGGAAGTGAAATGTCTGGTGGCAGAGGGTTAAGAAAATAAAAGAAAAGTGAACGAGAACAGTGAATTATTGGTGTGGAAACAAAAGAACAATGAATTGTGAGATGTTTGATTGCCATTTTGCAAATAAACTATTTACTGTATGTGTTGCGGAAGTTAGATCCCCAGAACTCATTTGAAAATGGTCTGAATTTTATAATTTTATTCTGGAAATTTGAATTTTGTATTTTCGCATTAAGAAACTCTGAGTTTACATTTCACACTCGGGAGTCCTTGACTGTCATTGGTTGACAGATTTTTTTAGTACGCTTTTTTCTGGCTTTTCCAAGGGCGTTTCTATCAATGTATAAATAAGCTTGATTTATGTGCTTAGTGATCCCATATTTTATGGGGATTGTAGAATAAATTCTTCTACGCCTCATCAAGACTTCTTGATCTAGTTAGCGAGTCTGGGGACAACGGATTAGAATAGCCTATCGTGTCACTGTGTGATTGATCTTCATTCCGTTTACCGAGTAAAGTGAACTCGTAATAGCATCAAGCATATCAGTTTGGTTCTCAGATCTTGCTAAGATATTCTATAATTTTGTATCACAAATACATTTGATTGCTCCCTTCCACTTGTGTTCTTCTTCACTACAATATCAGTTTTAATTTGCAATAAAACTAATTCAATGATTGTTATTGGTCATTTAAATGATTTTCATGGTTGAAAGCATGAGTCAATTGAAGCTAGACCACCAGGGAAAACCTAGAAGCACTGGTCGGCTTTTTTCGTCCTATTGTGGGACGCCTCAGCGGTTTACATCCACAACTTCGCCTTTCAAGATTCGAACCCAGGACCTACCAATCTCGCACCATAGCACTTAGCCGATAGACTACTAAGCCCACATCCGATGGTGTTTATATCTAACTCCAACTAATCCACGAAGTTGAGCAACCTTTCTAGCTTCAATTGACTTACGCTTTCAACTATGTAAATACTAATTCTCTACAAAACCCCTTCTTATAATGATTTAAATGATTTACAATACTTATCTGTTTTCTTTTTAATTCTAGTTGCAGTTTTATTTCCACCATCAGGTACATAAATAAAACTGATAATAAATGTAATCTATTAAGAATGATCTTAAGAAGATGTATCATATTAGTCTGTTCGATTGTAGTATTCTTCACTTATACCTGAAGTTTATACTGATGATGTCGTGGAAACAAGATCTTTATTTTCATTTGTTTCATACTTTATACCAGATAAGAAATTGATTCTTAAGTTTTGAATATCTTTAAAAAGAAAAATGATTTGCCGAAAAACAGTAACAGGTTGATTGATAAGTGACTGTAATAAAGACTTATTAAAAACAAAGATGGATAGTGGCTAGCATTAGAATACAGGACGCATGTTTCGTCCTATTTGGGGCTCGTCAGCTGGATGTATATACAACTCAAATGTGGTGTTCACTCAGGGATTCCAACCCAGTATCGTTCGGTTCAAACACCATCACGTTATCCAATTAGTTACTGAGTCTTGATAGCTACTAGATTGAGCAATGGGGCGAAGTTATATCCACTTGCTGTTGTTTACTTGTATCTTCCCATTGTTATTTAGGACTGCAATTAATCAGTATATTGTTGGCATATGTGCATCCTGTGCGGACTGCCTCGATATTGTCTGTCCAAAATAACAGTGGGAAGATATAAGTAAACAACAACAAGTGAATACGTCCTAAAAACATTTCATCTAATCTAGTAGTTCACTGTATGATCACCTAGTGAAGAGTACAATTTGTTGTCTATATGATAAAATTGACTCTCTAAAATAAAGATCTTATTCTCTTAGAAATACTATGAGTTTGATTCCAAACAAGGAAACAGACCATTGAATATGTTTAGAACACTTTAGTTTGAATACTGAAAATATACAAATCTTCATTGCCATGGCCTTATTATCAGATATAAATAATGCATGACGCGGATTGGCATAGCACGAGCAGCATATTTACAACTAAATTACATCTGGAACTCAAAACAACTGTCTGTTAACCAACACCAAGATCAAAATTTTCAATACAAATGTCAAGACAGTGCTACTACATGGAGCGAAAATCTGGAGAACTACAAAGGCTATCATCCAGAAGATACAGGTGTTTATTAACAGTTGTCTACGCAAAATACTTCGAATCCGTTGGCCAGACACCGAGAGCAACAAACTATTGTGGGAGAGAACAAACCAGATTCCAGTTGGGGAAGAAATCAGGAAGACGTGCTGTAAGTGGATGGGACATACATTTAGGAAATCACCCAATTGCATCACAAGACGAGCCCTCACATGGA